TTTTATGACAGTACAAAGAGGTATTCAGATGGAGCTGATGACATGCTGAGTAATGGGTGAGGTGGAGCTGGATGAAGTAGGGAGAGTGTGGCAGGTGCCTGGGAGCTTTGGCTTTCTTTTTAGCCTGGCCAATACAACACAGCACTTATTTTCCTTATTGTTGCTACTTTGGGTGATGGGGAGAGACACTTATAATGTTATTTCCTTTATTTTGTAATATGCTTCAGAGACAGAAAACCACACTTGGGAGTCAGGAGAGGGAAGAAAGGTTTCCCTGCCTGTTGCCTGTAGTAAAGGGTATTCAAAAATGACCTATATCTAGGTTTAGTGAGTAGGTAGAAATTGTGAGGTGTATATTTTATATTTGCTGTTATTTCTAGTCTAGCCGTGAGGGTGGCTGCCTGTTTTAAAAGGGCATCTTAAAATATCTCCCTAATTGACATCCAAAAATTATCATCTGTCAAATGTAGAGATGTGCTATAGAATCCCTTCTGCCAAGGGAATCCCTGCTTCCTGGGGCTGGACTGCCCCTAACCCCCATGCTTTGTGATGTTCTCTCAAGCTCAAAATGTTGGAGTTATTTTTTATTTCTTTTCCTCCCTCACCTTTTTTGTGACTCTGTGTTTGCTATTTCCTTAACCTGAACTCTTCTTTTCCCTTTTATTCTCCCCCTGACTGGCTGAAATCCTTATATTTCATTTCACTAGTGTAGCCAACTCCATAAAAACCTTTCCTGATTTCTGTCCTCACCACTGGCTTTGATCTCTTCCCCATTAGAAACTCTCTGTACTCTGCTGTGCCTCTGTGGCACATAACACATTCTACATTGTGTTATAGTTGTCTCATCCCCTCTACAAGATAATGAACTTCTTGAGGGCAAGTGCTATATATTGAGAACATCCTGATTAAATATTTGTTAAATGAGTTTCTGATTTACTTTCCACTGACATTCTTTCAATGTCTTACATCAAATGCTGTATCTAAAACTTTGTTCTTGCTTCTGTCATACCATCTTTCTCTTCTAACTTCCCTGTTTTTGTTCAAGGTATTGATTGCAGTTTGTGTATCTTGTCATGCACCTAGGGAAAGTTGAACCCCACAGAAATTTAAGAACTGAAATATACCAGTTATTTTATAAATGACAAATATGTGCATGGAATTAGAGAATTTTAGCACTGGAAGTAATTATCTAATCTAGTACTTCTTTGCCTTTTTTGAAGACTTAAATTTTCTTTTAAACGGTAATGAAAACCATGGGTTTTTTCCTCTAGAAAAATGCACATATATCCACATATGTTTTTGCATAATCAGACTTCTTTATTTTACAGATAGAAGCTATGCGATGTTCCTGTGATCACATGGCAAATCTGCATTTAATAACTGGTTATTTATTCAGTAAAGGGGGATAAAACAGTATGTGTTTTTCCAGAATACGTGAAGAAAAGGAAAGGAGCTCTAGCTTGGATTAGTGTACAACATTTTAAAAGAGAAAGACTACTCATTTAGATGATTACATAAATCCTCAAATAGCTTTTTTTTCTTTCTTTTGTCTGCAAAACAAAACATTACCTCGATATGGCAAGTACCTAGAATTTGACTTTGTCTGTGGTAGTTTCCTTGGATATAAACATTAAAGATGTGCAAAAATAAGGCTAGTGAACTTCACATATAAACTTTTACTTTGTCTGGAGTCTCTGCAAATGGTAAAATTTTATTTTGTCTTATAAAGAAATATATAATTCATACTTATTTTTTACAAAATCAGCAAATTAAGGAAAATAATTTAAATCACCCAAATCCCACCAACACTACTAAGTGATAATCACTATTAACAATTTGAAGTATATCCTGAACTTTTTTTTACATCTTTAAATATATATTGTTTAGTTTTATTTTTTAACAAAAAATGGTGTTATGTTTTATATGCTATTTTATGAGGGGTTTTTTTTGTTTGTTTTTGTTTTTACTTTTGCAGAAATTTATTATTTTTTTGGTGGCTGGATGGTACAGGGATTGAACCTTAGACTTTGGTGTTTTCAGCATCATGCTCCCACATCTAATCAACTGAGCTAACTGGCCAACCCAAATTTTGCAGAAATTTTAAAAGTGTAGAAAAGTACAAAAGAAATCCATTTCCCACTGTTCATAATTAACACACTTAGTGTCTCAACATATTTGCTCTAGTTTTCTTTAAGAAAAATTACTTAACTAAGGAAAAAATAATGCTATTTCAACATAAACAGTTCAGAGTGTGCAGAATTAAAAAGGTAAAAGTAATCACCTGAAATTCCTCTATTCAGAAGTAACTATCAAGAAAAACATTCAGAATCTGTATGTGTGCATTTATGTGTGTGTACACATATAGTATAAGTAGGTAGGTAGATTGATAGAAATACTTTTTTTTTTTTTTTCCTTTTTGTCTTTTTTTGTGACCGGCAACGGATCGCAACCCTCAGTGTCGCTCCCGTACCGGACCGGGACCGGCAACGGGATCGCAACCCTCGGTGTTGCGCCTGCACCTCGCTCAGCCAGTGAGTGGCCGGTCTGTACATGGGATCCGAACCCTCGGCGGGAGCGCCGTCACGCTCCTAAGCGGCGCACTGTAGCAGTGCGCCACCGGGCCGGCCCAATAGAAATACTTTTTATAAGTGAGATTATAGTACTAGTTGTTTTTTAAAAAGTATTTACTTTTGAATTTACTTGAAGGAATTGTTAAACTTCAAGTAAATTGTTCTTTACCACGTGACATAGTATTTTATAAAAGGTTGCTTTAAGGATTAAAAAAGATGAAAAATATTAAGAAGTTGAAGTCAATATTTTCTTTTCAGACCATATTTGATTGGAAATCTTATCTGTCGACTCCCTGATTTGAAAGATGAGGACCTAAGCACTTTTACTCTTCTATATCCTCCCCTTCTGATGTTTGTTAGTTATTTTTATATTGTTCAGATGTATTCATTGTTCACCATCGGTTCTTTTACCATGGTTTTCCCATTCCTAAGTTACTTGTTTGTTAATTTTAGATTGGCTGGATTTTGTTATTTTTTATTTTTTTATTTTTTTAAATAGAAGGGCTCATGAGCGCTA